GGTTGTTATCCTTGCCCGAGGGAATAATGTCATGTCGGTCTTCATCTCATCAGTACATGGTGTTTCTGCGGGTTGACAGGTACGCTGCATTATCTCCCAGGTCACTTCTCATGCTGTTGCAGGTCATGAGAGGTATTCTGCTGCAGATCCGTATGTTTTTTTTTTTTTGGTGCTGTCTCAGACCAGGTTACTGGTAGAGTATAGAGCTGGTTTCAGGAGAAGTTGAAGGGTATGGAGAGCTCATGATGCGAGGCAGCAATACATGTCATCTGTAGAAGGGGGTGTTGATATTACGTAGACGGACAGTGACATGATCCTGATCTCAGCAGCTACATGTACATGTAGCTCCGTCCTCGGTGCATCGAGTGTTACCGGCACGGAACATCGCCCATCACAAATGGTCCCGAGAGATGGAGCGTAATATTAACAAATTTGGTAGGGATATCTTGCTGCGGAGTCACACTCCATTGACAGGAATCATCGCCAAGCTGATGATGACGACTGTCTTCTCTCAATCAAAGAAGGAAGAAGTTTTTTTTTTTTAATAAACATTATGAAGATGATGATTTAAAAAAAATAAAAAATAAAAATAAAAATAAAAAAAAAAGGAATTGCACTCTAGGACCGGTATAACACCCGAGACACGCAGACTGTCTGAGGCTTAAACCACCATCCCGGTACATCGCGAGAGATGGTCCTAAGAAGACTGGGGGCCAGGTATCCATACTCCGTACGAGTCGTCCGCTGGCTGTATTCGTAGAGATGACGATCTACCGGTCGCCACAGGGGAAAGAAAAAAAAAAGAATGATGAGAAGTCATTAAGAGGAAACCAGCTTCTCAATCCAGGAGGTGTCAGAGAAAGGGGTTACTTGTACCGAGATGAGGAAAGGAAGGAAGAAACTCAAGCTATCAACCGGTAGATTCACCTCTGGACTCTTGGATGGGATTGGATTTTTTCTGAAACCTGGGGCGGACAGAGGAGACATGGACTGGGGGTCCCAAGGGGGTAGGAGGGATGAGAGCACACGTACCACCGTACATGCGTAATCCGTCGTGGATGGCTTCCACACACGCGCGCGCACTACGAGCACACGCCCACTTTTCTACGCCCCCCTCCCCTCCACCCTCGTCACTCGTCCGGGTGAGGAAGGGTGAGGGAGAGGGAGGGAGAGAGGCTCGAGAAGAGAAGAGAGGTCATGTTGGTGCGGTGGCAGTGAGAGATGGGTCGTGCTGACGTTCCCACATCCCGTAGATTATCTGACCAGCGAAGGGGGGGGGTACGTATCGTACCATGTACTAGCTGTAGCACGGAACACACTACCAGCGTTACTCAGTAACATCATGTATGATGCCGTACGCCTTGCTACTCTATACACTGTATGGGATCGGGTCGGAAGCCGTCTTGTTCATCACCATCACCCGTACTCTCTTGCAGGACAGCAGAGAAGAGGAGGAGGATAGGGTCCAGACGTCTGCAGGTTACCGGTAGCATCGCAGCATCGTGGGTGCGGGTACTCGCATGTCTCGTAACATCTGGCCAGCTGCGGAACGATAGACGAGCAGCACAGCTCTGACAAGCCCAAGCACAGCTACCTGGCAAGCCAAAAGCCAGATGGCGATGGCACCGCGTGGATCGTATTCTCACCACCAGTCTACGTTACATACAATGATGGCAGTCTTCCCCCATCGTCACAGCAGTGCATATATACACGAGCTGTAGCATCCATCTCCCTGCTCAGCCTGTAATCTGTGTGTGTATATATGTACGGCTGGGTACGTCACTACATGCACATGCACGAGCAGTGACTAGGTATTAATAGTTACGACTTGAATCCCTTACGGGTACTATTACTCGTAACTAGTACGACTTAATGGTGGGTAGACTGTGTGATGTGGACTCTTCTTTTTTTTTTCTGTTACCTTTCCTGTTCTTCTTCCCCGACTGACACGCGCCGCCCACAGCTCAAAGCTGTCTTTTCTCTCTCCTTGGGTTAAACTCGATCTCGTTTATTCCAACACACACACACACGTCTCCTTTTTTTTATCTTCTCCTCCTCCTCTCCTTTCCCTTGCTTTTGTTTTTAATTCTTCCTCAATCCCTCTTTCCTCCCATCTTCTTTCCTTTCCTCTTTCATTTTCCTCTTCCATATTCCTCTTCCATATTCCTCTTTCTCTACACACACACACACACACACATACATACATATACACACATACATACTTACACACACACACACATACATACATACAAACACCCTTGAACAACTACAACAACAACACACATACACACACACAATGGCTTACTCTGCCAACTACACCCCCCGACCCTTTACCGATGTCTTCACCAGTGACTCGGATGTCAACCGTCGCACATGCAGACGTACCGTCCCCATGAAGGTCCTCATCTTGGGACTCGGACGCACCGGTACAGCTTGTACGTATATAAGATGTGTCTTTATATGTATGCCTACATGTATACGTATATTGATCTGTATACATGCACGTATATATATTTATATATATATACATGCATCATATATCTCAACCTCGCCTCCTCTGTACTCATGACAAGCTCAACAACGACTGACTGACCTTTGCACCCACACAGCCATGCGTGCCGCCATGAAGCAGCTCGGTTACGTAGACACGTACCACATGATGAGCTGCTCAATCGAGAACCCCCCCGACGCGCTCATGTGGATGGACGCCCTGCGCGCCAAGTACGACGGCGTCGGCAAGCCCTTCACGCGCGAGGACTGGGACCAGCTCCTGGGCAACGCCCAGGCCGTGTGCGACTGGCCCGCCATCGCCTTCGCCAAGGAGCTGATCGAGGCCTACCCCGAGGCCAAGGTGGTCCTCACCAACCGTGACGTCGACTCGTGGCACGCCTCGACCATGCGCACCGTCTACTGGCGCGTCACCGACCCCGAGCTCCGCTGGCTGTCCAACTTCGACTGGGCCGCCGGCATGTACTACCCCATGCTCCGCAAGTTCTTCGACACCTTCTTCCGCGGCGACTTCCCCAACCAGGGCAAGGACGTCTTCCTCAACCACTACGACGAGGTCCGCAGCCTCGTGCCCCGGGACCGCCTGCTCGAGTACCGCGTCCAGGACGGCTGGGAGCCCCTCTGCCGCTTCCTCGGCGAGCCCGTCCCCGCCGACTCCCCCTTCCCCAACGTGAACGACAACTCCGACTTCGTCTCGCGCTCCCGCCGCCGCAACCGCAACCAGATGTACAACTGCGCCCTGAGGTACACCGTCAACGCCTCGGCCGCCGTCCTCGCCGCCATGGCCGTCTGGCACGGCGCTCGTCACTTTGGCCTCGTCGACACCGACAGCTCCATCGGCGCACTCCTCTTTGGCTCCATCCTCTCCAAGGCCTGAGGTCTTCCCTCTTGCCGTATAGATTCCATCTTCCCCCTTTCCTCCAAAACCTCCCCTCTGATTCTCAAGCGTCTCCTGATCCCGGTTCGAGACCATCTCTCCATCCATCTTCCTCGCCCCTCCCCCCCCCCCCCCCCCCCACCTTTTCTTTTTATTTCTATCTTTACCCCTAGGGCAAAGAAATTCGGGTTTTATTACACACAAAGGCTATAGACATCTTGTACTTTTTCTTGTTACCCCCTTATCGCGCTCTCTATGTCAATTCTCACGTATTGTTAGCTTTCCCATTTTGGTTTTTTTACAAGGTGTTGATGATTTTCCAACACCAAAACATCAAGTATCAGAACTCGTATGCTTCCAATACGAAAAAAAAGTTTTTTTTTCTTATAAAAAGTTCAATAACTTCAATGTCCTCATTCCAAAACCTCCCTGACTAATCTTGATACGTTTCCGCATTTATCCCCCTCGCCCCTCGCCCCTCGCAGCAGCTACGTAACCCTGCCTGCTTGGTGGGGTGCGAAATGTTTCACTGTGGAACCGTGCAAGGGGCAATGACGACGCGTCTTTTTTTCTTTTCTTTTGCTTCTTTTCTTCTTCTTTTTTTCTTCTTCTGGCGCTGACCGTTTTGGCCTCACCTGGCCTGACCTGGCCTGTCAATCTTTCTCTTTGCCGCCTTGTCCCGTCTCAGCGATTCGCCCACGATTATCGGACTCGCGTCGATGGCCAATACGAAACACATCCGAGTGACTATTTACAGAATCACAACTCGTACTGCTACCATTCATTGCTACTACCATTATTACCGCTGTCAGTACTGCTCGGTAACTTTACATGTGCTGCCTAAAGAGTGTTTGCATAATTTACCCTTTTAATTTTGGTAGCATCGACGCCTTTATTCCCCTCCCACACTCCCCCCAAAATCTCATCTCACTAATTTACCCTATATACACAACTACGTCACTGGCTCGTGCAGAGATCAGGGAGTCAGGAATTAACCGTTGATGTCTATGACATGTCTGAGTGATACGTGGCATTGATCCGTACTGCTTCCAGGAAATTGGTCTATTTAGCCATTGATTCATTCATTCCTGCTGACGTTGACAGTTGACAATCAGTGGTTGACGCTCATCAATACCAAGTACTGCTAGTACTACTAGTACGAGTGTTCGTGATTCTCATCAATATTGCTTCATCATCAAATCATCTACTAGCATTGACCACAGACTCACACCCACACTTCTACATATATATATATATATGTATATATGTATACATGTATATATAATACTGGTGCTAATACCAATTACTACTCAACGTTGGCCGTCATATATAATCATTATACGTGTAGCATTTTCACATCGTGCACGCACCATGCACGAACATATGCACCATCACAGTTCGTTAGTGATTTGCTCCTTTTTCGTTTTACACTTTTATTATATTTTTGTTCTTGTTTTCATGTGGTATTTTAGCATTCGTCTTTGGCTTTTCGCCCTTGGGCTTGCTCGTCAGCTTAACCCTTGGCAGCACCAGCCTTGATCAGGAGAATGTCTCCATCCTCTACGACGTAGTCCTTGCCTTTGGTCATCATCTTTCCCTTGGCCTTGACCTCGGCCTCGTCTCCGAGCTCCTTGAGGTCCCTGAAGTTGTAGACAATCGCCTGGATAAACGTCTTCTCAAAGTCGGTGTGGATGACACCGGCCGCCTGAGGGGCCTTGGTGCCGTTTCGGATCGTCCACTGGCGAACCTCGTCAGCACCCGACGTGAAGAAGCTGCCAAGCTGAAGAGCCTTGCGCATCTGGATAACCAGCTTGGAGATGGCCGACTCGGCGCCGGCCTTCTTCTGCTCCTCGAGCGAGAGCTCCTCCGACTCGAGGCGGGTCAGGCGCTCCTCGTACGACGCCGAGATAGGGATGATGGGGTCGCCAGGAGCGTTCTCCTTGATCCACTCGGCCACCTTGGGCAGATACTTGTTCTTCTTGCGAATGTAGTCCCGCTCAGAGAGGTTGACCAGGTACACGACGGGCTTGGCCGTCAGGAGGAAGAGAGGGTTGATGACCTCGATCTAATGACATGTCATAAGACGTCTCGCGTTAGCCAGATCCGTTGTTTCTCGACGGGACGTTGTCAACAGATGAGCAAAATGTGGCAGAGCAAAGAAGAAATTGCAACGAGCTTTCAGTGATCAGACGGGACGTTATCTCATGATGCCTCTAAGCGTTGTATTAGGTGAGGCATTCGAAGAGCTGGGTTAGAATCAGGCCATTGGCCTTTGTTCATCATGTGGGAAAGCAAGCTGTGGTGGTATGTTGGGAAGGCAGCAGAGAGCAAAGAAAATGGACTGATATCTTACCTCCTTGCCAGTCCAGTCACCCTTGCGAACATCCTTTCCGTCTTGCAACCAAGCAAGGATCTTCTCAATGATCTCCTGCTCTTGGCGGGCCTTCTTCTGCTCGAGACTCTGACCACCCATGCGCGTCTTCTTCTTCTGGTTCTCAAGGGCCTTCTCGACAAACTCAATGTCCTTGAGACGGAGCTCCTCGCTGATGATGTCGAGATCCCTGGTAGGGTTCACGTCACCCTCAATGTGGATGATGTCGGCATCGTCGAAGCACCGGACGACCTGGAAGATGGCGTCGACGGCGCGGATATGCGACAGGAAAGCGTTACCCAGACCGGCACCCGTCGACGAGCCACGCGTCAGACCGGCAATGTCATAGACTAGCAGGTTGGCGGGGACACGAGACTTGGGCTTGTACTTTTCGCACAGCCAGTCGAAGCGCTCATCGGGAACCACGACGGGAGCCTCCTCCGGATCGATGGTGGCATAGGGGTAGTTCTGTTTGATGTTTAGCACGTAGTCGATGTGAGGAAGATGAATGTGGAGGAGGGTGAAGAAGATGCACGTACCGCAGGGTTACCAATCGAGTACTTGGTAATCGACTGGAAGAGCGTGGACTTGCCGACGTTGGCGAGGCCGACCTGGTCGGAATTAGGTCAGACGGGACGATTCTGCATCTTCTTTTCTCTTCTTTCTGGAAAGGGTAGATAGAAGGACCGCTGGAGGAGACGGGCTCAGAGTGGTGCGCTTACAATTCCACTCTTGAGGTTGTTCCCGGGCCGGCCCAGAGGAATCTTCTCCTGAACCTGCTGCTTCTTGGGAGGCATCCTTTTCTTCTTGGCGTAGTAGCGCCTAGTACTGGGGCTGGGGTGTTGGTAGAGGAGGGGAGGAGTGGTGTGAGGAGGGGTAGCAGTGAGGTAACAGAGGGGAACTCGTCCAAGGGCTGCAGACCTAGCTGCGCGGGGAAGGAAAAAAGCTTGTGAGGGAGAAGGGGAGAGAAAGAGGGGAGAAGAGAGGGAAGACGTGGTGGGCAAAAATGGTAGCTGGCTACAAAGGGCCAGCCTCTTGGTAGTACCGAAGTAGAGAGGGAAAAAAAACTCGCTAAGCTTCTTCTTGCTTCGAAACGAAAGAGACGCCACACCACTCGAGAGGAGACACACACCAATACCAGTGACACCACCCAAGAGACAGAGAGAGAAAGTTTTTTTCTTCTCAGAAGAGGGAAAGGAGGGGGGGGGGGGGCACGGAGTGGGGGAATCGTGCAGGAAAGATGGGATGAGCAGCAGAGAGAAGACGAGGACGAACGAATTTTTTGATGCTCCCCACTTTGATGAAAAGGGTGGAGGGTTGGATAGAACGGAGTATCATTTAATCCAGGTCACATGATTCGACGCCTTGGGGCCTTGGGGCCTTGCAGATACTACGCTCAGTATGACTAAGATAACTATTGGTTGCGTACGTAATACAAGCACGTACATCACGTCACGCGCCTGACCGGAGTTGGCGGCAGGTCTGGCTTACTTCCAGGCTCTACGGCATATTCTTATAGAGGCCTGGGGTAGCAGTGTAGCACTAACCATCCCCGGAGGGTGTGGTAAGCTACTAGAGACCCTGAATCAGATGGCAAAACGTCTCTGCGCTGTCTCAATCTCCTCTCATCCTTGCATCCTTCTCTGTTATCGCATTCGCACTCGCCTCTGCACGGGCTTTGGCTATATAACGCACGATCCATCATAGCAGCCGTCATATTCCCTCATCGATAGACTGCCTCCTCCCCCCATATCCTCCCCCCCTCCCCCCCCCGTTCGCAAAGGGTCCTCTCCCCAAAATAAAGACCCCACTGGCCCGACCGGCGATCGCTGAGACACAAGTACGACAAGAGCACACAGAGAAAGGAGGAAGGGACAGAGAAGGGACAGAAAAAAAGACAATGTCTGGTCGCACGAGCGGCTCATCCCGTCATCCGGGCAGAGGGCATCGGTCGACGCTCTCTCTGCAGAAGACGGAGATCCTTATCAATGTCTACGACCTGTTACCGGTGAGTGCTTGTCTGCTACGCCGCTGCGCCAAAAAAAAAAAAAGAAAACAAAAAGCACGCGTACACCGTATAGGGATCTAACAGTATTTCAGGCCGGTCGAGTATCATCCGTCCTCTGGTCCATCGGCGCATCTCTCCTCCATTCTGGCGTCGTCATCAATGGCAAGGAATACGCCTTTGGAGGCCACGACCAGCCCGGTTTGACGGGTGTGTACTGGACCAAGCCCAAGACGGAGCCCCCGGGCGGCACATTCAGGTGCGAGCTGCTGCACGGCTTCACCCTCGCCTCGGACCAGGAGATTGACGCCGTCGTGCGCTCCGTGTCGGACGAGTTCACTGGCACCTCGTACAACCTCCTTACCAAGAACTGCAACCACTTCACCTCGCACCTCGTCGAGAAGCTTACCAACACCCCTGGACCCGGTTGGCTCAACCGCGCGGCTGCTTTTGGCGTCGCCTTCCCCTGCATCGTGCCTCGCGAATGGATTGAGCCGCCCGATTACGAGACCATCGACGGCGGAGCCCTCCTGAGTCCCGACACCGACGTCTTCGGTGACGAGAATGCTCGCATGCTCCGGTCCTCAGATGAGACACCTCGACTAGTTGGCAGTGAGAGTTCCACCATGAGTGAAATGGGATTCGAGCAGGGCTGGGATAGGGATGACGACGCGACGCCCCGTCCTAGTGGCCACCACAGGACCGTTTCTAGAGACAGCTCTGGAAGGATCTTGCCTGTCGCCGAGAGGGCGCCGGTGCGCTGATTGCTTTCTGCTCTCTCTGCCTCTGCTGTCTTTGTCTTCCTCTCTTCTTCTTCGTCTTCTTCTTCTTCTCTTTATACCCTTCGTCTTTCGTTTTATCTGCAATCTCGGATCTTGGTGATCTCGGTATCAATGGCATGGGCGTTTTGGATTTCTTTTTTCCGGGCCGGAGTTTGGAATATGATGTGGTCGGAGCTACTATCAGCCTTTTTGCGCAAATGGCACGCAGCCGTATTACTGTCTTTCTCAGCTTGCAGCGCCTTTCCTTCTCCAACTACTTCCTTCATTCTTGGAAATGCGTACATCAGAAACTTGTATTCTATGGTAGGTATGATACAAATGTTACATTGGCAAAACGTACATCACACACAGGACATTCCACCAAAACCAGTCGCCCGTGCCCGGTAGACTCTTCCAACCTGATCTCTCGTATGGCAAACATGCTCCAAACCCTGCAGTCCTCCCCCCTTACAGACGCCTGGGTGCCTTGCTCCTGGTCCCACCAAACTTGAGCCTGGTCGACTCAGCCACACGGACAATCTTGTCGCGCAGGACCTTGCCCTCGGGGCTCATGATGACCTTGAGGGCGGCCTCCCTCCCCTGGCCGAAGCCACGGAGCACCACCTCGAGCCTCTTCATCTTCATGGGCCAGCCGTTGTGGATCAGACGCTCAATCAGGTACTTGGTGAGTGAGTAGGCCGAGTCGTAGGTTCCGCGCCTCGACTTGCGGTATCCGAGGTTGCCTGCCGAGAGGGAGATGATGGGCTCGCGGTTAGGTTTCGTGCAGGTGACGTGCGTGTTATGCTTGTGCGAGTAGATGTGCAGGTGGTAGGGCTCGAGGTCCTCCTTGGACCGTGCTGACGCCGCCCCCGACGACGACGTGCTGCCCCCCATCAGAGAGCTGGTGTCCACCCCGGACTGGTTCATGGCCTTGAACACCGACGACTGCGATAGGGATGCCATCGAGTTCTTCTCCTGCGACTGCGACTGCGACTGCGACTGCCCGGAGGGAGCCTGGCGCGCACCGTACAGGTTCTCCAGAAGCGCGCGGGACTTGGGCTTGAAGCTGCTGCTGCTGTCGTCCTCTTGCCGGCGCTGGTGTGTCTGCGAAAGGCATCGCGTCGTCGTGACCCAGGGGAGACGACGCACCAGAGTCGACGACGAGGCTCCCAGAGGCTGGGCCGCCACCAGACGGGTTGTTGATGAACGGATCATCGTGTTGGTAATGGTCATTCTTCGTCTTTTGATTCGAGTATCGGCTTGCCGCTGTTAATCAAGCCATTGATATTCAAGGAGAAACGCGCGGGAAGAACATTTTCAGGTATCACCACGGACCCTCGGATGATAGTATTGCCGAGGGTCCCCTAACATTCTAAGCCGCCCCAGCAGCCCCAGCAGCCCCAGCAGGCCCCCGTGGATTGGCGCAGAATCGAAATTTCAATCTGCGCAGTACAGCGGCTGTTTTTTTTTCACATTTCCTCCTAATCACACAACCTCCTCCCATCCGCCTTTTCCTTCTTCTTTTCCAAAAAAAGAAGGGGCATCCTCTCCCTCAAAATATCAGGATGCATACCCTCGTTCGGAATGCTGCCGGCACAGAAAATGTCCTCGCCAGGGCTTCGTCTTCTCACCTGAGCCCCTACTCATACAGCACCACATCCCCTGCTTACAGGAGGTTAGCTTCCCAGCTGTCACGGCCTGCTGCCCGGGGTCACGATGCATCTCCTCTCCGTCGGGGTGCTCTGATGGGCGCGCTCTCATCTACCATCAGGGCCCCTCTGCGTTCTCCCTTCCTCCCTCACCAGCTACGACTTTCCCCGATGACCTCGGTCCAGACACGCGACCTCAACACGACTTCGCCGCGATTCCAGGAGGCCAAGGCCAAGTCGGCTGAGGCCGAGGCCGGTGCCTCCTCCGAGAGGCAGCAGCAGGAATCCACGACGGACGACAAGGAGTCCTCCGAGTCTAAGTCGGAAGAGGGCAAGGAGGGGGATGACGGAAAGGAGAAGAAGGAGAAGAAGGAGGACCTGCCTCCCCCTCCCCCCCACGGCGACAAGACACCTTGGCAGGTCTTCATGGAGACGATGAACACCGAGTTCCAGGCCTCCAAGGAGTGGAACGAGTCCACCAAGCAGATTGGAGCTGCCGCCCACCAGTTCAGCGAGAGCGAGTCAGTCCGGCGCGCCCGCGAGGCATACGAGAAGTCGACTGGCGTCGTGTCGTCGACGGCTTCGACCGCCATCAAGTCGACGGCCAGCGCCCTCGGCAAGGGCGCCGCCTGGACCTGGGACACGTCAGTTGTCAAGGGCGTGCGTAAGGCTGCCAACGTCACCGGCGACGTCGTGGACAAGGCTACCAAACCTATCCGTGACACCGAGGCTTACAGGAACGTCAAGAACGTCATCGACGACGGTAGCTCTTCGCGCTACGGTGGTTGGATCGAGAAGGAAGAGCGTCGCAAGAAGCGTGAGCTCATGGAGAAGCAGCGCGGAAACGGCGGCAAGGTGATGCAAGAGGATCCCGAGTAAGTAGCTACCGCACACACAGTGACCACGGCCACCTACTCTTGCAACAGCGTGATTGCTAACGACATGATGCAGGGCCGGAACCAACATCACGCTTCACAAGGATGCTGCATGGAAGGAGGCCTGGAGGGATTTCCGCGACCAAAACTCGTTTGTCCAGGGTGTCTTTGGCCTCAAGGGCAAGTACGAGGAGTCGGAGAACCCTCTGGTATCGACGGCGCGCAGCATCACGGACCGAATCGGCAGCTTCTTTGCCGAGAACGAGACGGCGACGGTGATCAAGCAGTTCCGATCTATGGACCCCAGCTTCCAGACCGAGTCGTTCCTTCAGGAGCTCCGCGAGTACATACTGCCCGAGGTGCTAGAGGCCTATGTCAAGGGCAACACGGAGACGCTTAAGCTGTGGCTGTCGGCGGCGCAGTTTTCCGTCTACGAGGCGCTGACCAAGCAGTACTTGCAGGCTGGCATGAAGTCTGACGGACGCATCCTCGACATCCGCAACGTCGACATCCTCCGCGCCCGCATGCTCGACCCGGGAGACATTCCTGTCTTCATCATCACCTGCCGCACGCAGGAGGTCCACGTGTACCGCAACGCCAAGACGAACAAGCTGGCTGCTGGTATGGAGGACAAGGTGCAGCTGGTGACGTACGCCATCGGCATCACTCGTGTGCCCGAGGACGTCAACAACCCGGAGACGAGGGGATGGCGTCTGATTGAGATGCAAAAGAGTGGCCGTGACTGGTACTAGTCCGACACAGGCTACAAGGGGATAGTCGACAACTTGAAGATTATGCCTCAACCCCTCTCTCAACGCACAATCTATGAAGAACAAGAAGAAAAGAAGCCATTCTGTTGGGGAATGTACCAGCATACATGTCATAATATCTGTACTATATGTTTTGAACAAAAAGGGGAAGGAAGACGGAAGGGGCCATGTACGAAGACGAGGAGGGTAGACAACATAAAAAAAAGGAACACGCAACTCTAGGGTTGTTTTGTATGTGCACTACTTTGTATAGGAAGCGTTGGGAGTATATCGTGGGATGGAGATTTACCACTGAACTTGCATGAATTTGATGATGTATTTCACTTGAGTGTCTACGGAGTATTCTTAGGTATATTACGATAGTACAGTATCTACTCCTCTATACACGTCGGCATATATCAAGACCAACTGTCGAGCGCTCCGTACTTGCATGTATACATAAAGACGACTGAAGGCAAGATTGATTCATAAACTATCCCGTTTAATCGACGTGCTTCCCGCAACTAAACCTGACTGAACAAGAGTAACGCAAAAAGGAAGCAGGAAAACAGAGAAGTAGTAAAAAAAACAAGAACAATACACACACACAAATAAAAAGGTAAGCCGTGTCCCGCCAAGTCCAAAAACAAAACATGTCTAATCCTCCATGGATGTAATAAACAAGAAGAAGGAGGAGGAAGGAAGAAAGGCTCCAGGGAATGTACAATGGAAAGGCAAGTGAGAAGGTAAAGACAGTCAAGGAAAAAACAGTTGAAATGAGGAAGAACAACGCAACGCCATGTAGATGCAACCAGGATGCGAGCCCCGGTGGAGAGGGAAGGGAAGGGGAAAGGTATATGAAGACAAGGAAAGGAGTATTAATTGGGATTCTCGCCAGGATCAACATCATCATCAGGATCCATACTCAGCGTACCGGCAGCATGGTTGAGAATGGCAGCAGTCTTCGTGATGAATCGTCTGGCCTCGTCCCACTCTTGGGCTTCCACCAGGTCCCGTATGGCGGGGAAGTAAGACTTTCGGTCGTCCGACCAGAGTTGGGGGCCGAATACGATGTGTTTGAATTGTGTTCGGTTGGGGATCTTTCAAATGTTAGCCTTATACCCCTTGGGGGGACGCGAGGATGGACGAGAGAAAGGAAAGAAAGAAAGACAGAGGGAGAGAGAGAGAGAAGCATACCCCACCACCTTGCTCTAGATCCAAGAGCTCGGTATCGAAATTACCCAGAATGTCATTGAATCGAAACCTCATGTCGCTGAAATCACCACCTTCCCACCCGCCATTGGCGATGACGGCATTATCCCACACCTCCTCCCACCTCGAAAAGTTGAAGGCGCTTTGTTTGACCCGGGCCGCAGCGTCCCGCAGCTCCTTGAGATCGAGGTCAACCTTGCCGGCCTTGTCGGAACCAGAGGAAGCATCATCAACAGCAGCGGCAGCGGCAGCAGCATCCCGAGAGCGAGAGTGAGAGTGCTTGGCCGAAGTCTTCTCCTTGATCCAGTCGTCCAGATCGGCGACCCAGCCACCGAGAGAGTCGGCGTAGGCCTCGATGTCCATGGGGACGATGGCCCGGTCGGCCAGGTCGAGGACCATGAGGCCCACCACCTGCGCCATGCGGGAGTGGTACACGAATCCCGGGTCGATGACGTTGTCCACCAGCTCGAAGTCGTCGTAGCTGGAGTGGTGGGGGACGGCGCTGCCGCGGAACTCGACGTCGATGGTAGACGTGCCCGATATGTCCTGGAAGGCGACGTAGTCGCTCTCGGAGCCCGGACCGTCGTAGACGGACCCGCGCTTGTCCCACAGTTCGCGCAGGGTCGCGTTGAGGAATGGGTCCTCCACGCGGCCTAGGGCGTGATAAAGTGTCTTGCGCAGCGCCGGCGACCCGGATGCGTGGAACTCGGTTCCCGACACCGCCGTGTCCAGGTTGATGTAGGCGTAGGCATCTTGGCGGAGCTCGTCCAAGTGGTTTTCGACGTACTCGGTCGACCCGATCATGTTGTACTCCTCAGCATCCCACGACATGAACTCGATGGTGCGCAGGGGCCGCCACCCACGCAGCACGAGGTCGCCAAAGATGCGCGCCATCTCGACCAGTACCGCCGTACCGGAGTGTGGGTCCGTGGCCCCAAACCCCCACGAGTCCCGGTGGTTGCCGATGATGATGGACTTGGCCGTCTGCTCCATACCCGCGATGCGTCCGTACACATTCCAGATGGGCTGCTTGGTGTTCTCGTCCTGCTCGTTCTTGAGCCGCACGATGGGTGACTTGTCGTCGCCCGTCCACCACTCGTCCACGTCCGGCACCCCGCCCTTCCACCCGTCCGGCACCTTGCCACCGTGGCCCTTGATCTTCTGGAGCAGCACCTTGGCGTCCCTCCAGGCTAGCGGCAGGCTGGGGATGCCCACCAGCCCGGGCGCGTCCTGCACCTTCATCCGCGGCATGCCCTCGTCGCTCGGCCAGCCGGGCGTGAGAACGTCGCCGACCACCCAGCTCGTCAGGCTGACGGACCCACGCTGCACGCCGTCCTCGGGCATGTACGGTCCCTTGGGCCATACGGGGCCCTTGAGGAAGCCGTCGTCGGCTGGGTCACTGTAGATGATGCAGCCGGCGAAACCGGCCAGCTCGGCGGCCTTCACCTTGAGGGCGCGGTCCCGCTGGGTACCGTAGTAGCGCACGAGCGCGATGGCCCCCTCGGTCTTGATGCCTCTGTCGGCGAGCCGCTTGAAGTCGTCGCGCGAGCCGTAGTTGGCGTAGATGAGCGGCCCGCGCACGTCGCCCGCCTTGGAGTGGCCGTGGAAGGCGTAGGTCTGATGGCCGGCCGTCTCCTCGCCATGCTCCTCCTCCTCCAGCTTGGCGGACCACACGGCCTTGTCTTGGTGCTTGGGGTCCATGATCTGCACGGCGCGCCCGTCCTTCTTGGGGTAGTTGATGTAGGCCACGTACTTGTCGAGCCTGATCTCGTCGAGGCCCATGCGGCCCAGCATGGCCTCCATGTCCATGGCGGTGGCGTAGTCGCCCTCGGTGCCGGCAATGTGGGCGTAGCTGGAGAAGTGCTGGACCGTGTCGCGCATCTGATCCGGGTCCACCATGTTCATGATGTGGATGCGCAGGTCCTCCGGGTTGAAGCGGTACCCGCCGCCCAGCGGGCCGCCAAACGAGTTGAAGAAGTCGGTCGAAAAGACGAGGTACACGAACCCCACGAGGATGAAGACCGCCAGCACGCGGGCAAACACAATCACGGCCAGCATGCCGTCGACGCGCGGCACGTTCCACTGCCACACGGGGCGTGCCTGCTGCTGCTGCTGTGACTCGGAGTCGGTGCCGGCGGTGCTGCTGTTGTTATTGGCATCGGCATCATTATTCTCGCCTTCGGCCGGTGGCGAGGACGGGAGACGGATGCGCACGCGCGGCATGGTAGGTAACGTCGGTCGCCAGGACCAGCGCCACCTGGGAAGGGCAAAGGCTATCCTCTTGCGCCAGAGGTTTGCGCGCGAGTCGGACGGCTCCTCAATGTCCATCTCCTGCATCTCGCGTCGCACGTGGGCGGCCTCGTCGTCGTCGACATTATCGCCGTCTGCGTCGCTCTCGAGCAGGCTCTCGACGTCCGAGTTGTCTGATTCGACCGTGGGCGGGCGGTACCCGTCTGGTCGGCGTCTGGCATTGTTATTTGACGATGACGAGTCGCTGGGCCCGCCGTTGTTCTGTCGGCTGAGGAGAGACTGCGCCTCCGTCTCGTTGGCGTCGTGTTCGCCATCGTCGACTGACGACCTTGGCGGCGGCCAGTCGTCGTACCGTCGGCTGCCGGTGGCCAGGGCCTCGTCGTACGTCGGTGGTACCGGGTCGTAAAAGGGCTGCTTCTCTGAGGGCGCCATGACGGCGGCAGGTTACTACTACCTTGGTGCACAGGAGCGGTCGTGTAGGATGATCCGTTCTGCGTCCATGCAGGGGGAGGAGGGACCGGTGGTATGTGGTTTGGAGTTCGAAGGGGAAGGAAAAGAAGGGTTCAACGAGGGTCAAGTACAGGCATAATCAGAGAGAAAGACACACATGCAAAAGCCGATGGGATGATATGTACGTCACCACTCTTCAGACGAAAATTCCTGGGTCTGTGTCCAATGTCGGAAATGATGTGGGGAAAAGAGAGAGAAGGAGAAAGAAAGGAGAGGAGGGGATTAAGGCGATGTCCACGTAACAAGAGAAGACAGTTGGTGATGGCGGTTTGGGGAGTTTCGGGGGCGGAGCAGCTGTCTGCGCGCTTTGGGGGCGCTTTAGGGGCTTCGTTAGGGGCTTTAGGGGCGATGTTGGGCTCCGTTAGGGGCTTGGCTTTATTCGGTGCTCAAGTATATGTAATCTGTACGGAGTATGTGGTTTTAGGTCCCCGAGGCTCCCTCCTTCTCCCCCCCTCCCCTGGTATCTGCATACGCCATATGTACGTGTATCCATCCGTATCTGTCTATTATGGATCGTTCGTATAACTCCTGGTCTTCTTTTCAAGGACGATTTCACCATTTTCTACACAATATGTTTCTTATCTAAAGGATATCGTTGTTGCTTTACTATCAACGCATGTCTACAAGATACGTGCAGAGGCGCACGTGCGTACTGCAGCAGAGAGAGACAAGAGGATCTTTCAACCTCATCGCTAGCCATGACGGCATCATCTTTGGCTCACGGACAACAACACGGGCTCTGTACTAGCTGATAGCCCTTCCTAAGCTCTCCCCCCACCCCCCCGTGGCGCCCCTCATGCCGTACCCTTCTCCTTGGCATACTCATCAACAGACACCAACCTCCCGACGACATCGTACTTGTCATTGAAGCGTTCCTCCCAGCCCTGGAGGGCCTCGAGCTCGTCCCTACCGAGATCATCGAGCGAGTCGAGCGGCCCATCGAGGTCCTTGGTGAGCATATCCTCGTCGAAACTACCGCAAGCGAGACCGCGGCTGGCATCGCGACCAGCAAAGTTGGAGTAGGGACCTCCGGGGCCGTAAAAGTTGCGCCCGCGCGACACGTCAAACACCTTGCCACGCACGGCGAAGAAGACGGGTCCGCCGTCGGACCCGTTGAAGGGCAGCAGCGTGTGGGGCGTGTATGTGCGGAAGACGGCCGGAGGGGCCGGGCGTGGCAGGGTCACGGGCGTCGGGGCGCGGAAGAGGCCGTAGATGGCGTATATTATTGCTGCGATGAGCGCCAGGTTGACGGGAGTCAGGAAGACGGCCCTGTGTATGGTAGTGATAGTGGTCAGCAGGCAGGTTATCGCGTCGTGATATGGCACGGCCATGGTCCGTCCTTACGTTGTCTGCCCATCCGCTGCGACCTGATCGGCCAGCGTCTTGGCAACGTGGTCCATGACTTCTTTTCTTTCCTTTCTATTTTCTCGTCAAGATTCGCAAGGAGTTGAGGAGAGGGAGTGAGAGATGGGTCGGTTGTATGGGAGGGAACCAAAAAATTGACAACGTGCTGGCTGCGTGTTGTGTAATCTTGCTACGTCAGAAACTCGGGAGTGGAGGGGATCGCAGAGTCCCCGCATTTACCGATGTCTACCCGGTACGAAGACCATGAATATAATACGTGTGGTTTGAATGTACCTTTTATAGAGTTGCATGCTACGGGATGTTATTGATTGATTATTTGACGCAATCTTTGCTTCTTTGTTTCTCTTCCTAACATGAATTCTACTCGAAACAAGTAATTCGAGCCATTGTATGTAGTGTCCTACTTGTAGTCGGATACTGCAGGAATACAAAGTACCAGGCAACTGCAATTATCTGTAACAGTAATAATATACATCGAATCCGAATCTCACTTAATAATATATGATGGACATCTCCAGAGACCTTGGACCTATCTCTCATATCACAACCAAAAAAATCACCTGATAGATTTTCTCACACAGCCCAGCATGCCCATTTGCACTGTCGACCACATTGAAAACCCCTCTTATACCTATGAAGAAAGTGTACTCCACAGTCACAGGGCGTATAGTGTAGTGGTTATCACATCTGTTTTGCATTCGCTTCGATGCCTACAGAAGGTCCAGGGTTCAACTCCCTGTTCGTCCAACGGAATTAATTCCGTGATTTCTATTTTTGCTCTTGCCTGTTTCTCCTTATCTTTCTTTCCTCTGTCCTGTTTGCTTTCCTGGCAGTTCTTCACCTTTTCCTTTCTCTCTCTCTTATTCTTTATTGTTTTTATCTTGTATATGATACTCATCTTTTTCAGCCATGACTGTATTTCATTTCATCTTCATATTTCATCTTCATATTCATCAACCTCTTCTATCTTCATCGTCTTTACTCACATGATTGTCATTATCAGTCAACGCCATCTTCCTTTGTATCATTGACATCGACATCGACATCTTCGTCTTCACGTTCATATTCGTCGTTACCAATGCTATGTCCATTGCTTCCAAAACGTCCAAGTAGTAGAGCGTCTAAGAATTCAAGCATACAGCTTCCCAAGTGTCCGATATGTGTACTCAGGTGTGCAAATACTATGTCTTCAAGTGTACAAGTCCCCGAGTGTCCAAGTCCCTGCATTAAGAACCTGATATCCAGGTGTTCGTGTACTCAGATACTACTTGTTGTGACCCACCTACGGTTGATCACGTGATGGAAACCAGTCAAGCACACACCTGAGTTCTCCCTCGCAGTAGTAGCTAGAAATATCATCAACAACCTCACATATGGCCTCATCTTGGTCGCATCTTCCCATTGTTTCCACACTACTACCACACGGGACGAGCTCTGCTTTCCCGACTAGCACAGCGGCGGAAAAGTATGACAGTTGTGGCGATGGTGCGTGGGTACCTACACCAAATAATTATTTGTGCTTCTTCTTATAGGATCACGAAGAGGCGCCGCACTGTGGATCCCGTGACTTACGGGCCCGGCGGAACAATCCGCCGGGCACACAAGTTCTCACAATCGATAGATCGTAGCAGGAAGCCTCACTTTCTGCTACACCATCAATGAAAGAATCCTTCCGCTTTCAGGTCTATACACAGCATCACATCGTCAGGTGTGAGTTTCATAGTGAACCTGTTCGGAAGGAGCCCACCGACGCACAGTACCACCGTACCAGCTTGTACGAATGCAAAAGGTGCCTTCTGTTGTGATCTGTTAACTTGCTTTTTCTCTTCTTCTTGAAGCTATTCAGATTCCGCAGAATGGAAATAACAAAGCGCGTTGTGTGTGCCCGGCAGAACTATCTGCCGGGGCTGGGATCCACAGGGCAGAAGGACTTACTCACATGTAGTGTTCGCACGTGTATTTTGTCTTACTATCGCATCTGTTCATTGTCAATAACCCTCATCCTTTATTCGACCCGAGCGATATTATCATTGTTACCGAGAATAAAGCAGGTACTAGCCCTTATCCCGATACGCAGCTATATTTCTGCCTAGGGATTTGGGTTGCTACGAGACCTTCTTGAAGATATGCGGACGAAGTATTTATACCCTTTGTCATACTTTTTCCAGCCTTTGGGGGGTGATCTGAAAAAGCAGAGATGTCCTTGGTTGTTAGATTCGACAAGGACGGTGTCGGATCTCGTGGCTGTAGTGTGTGATCCGACACATGCAAGACTTCTCTCGAGAATGTGTTCGTTTGCTTTAGGGAATTAACCGTCCTAATAAGGGATTTGACCGTTTAGATATTGACACGCTTAGTAGCGTGTGTGAGAACACACCACTAACACGCTCATATGTATTAAAAGGCAGGTAAAGTGTTGTGTGGTGTTAAGTTCTTGATTCATTATCTTTAGAGCGATAGACTCGACTGTTTTATAGTCGAGTCCCACTTACCTAAGCTATGTACATTTTCTATGACAATACAGATCAACGCAGTCGATGCCGAGTACAGTTTGATGCAGGGCGGTCGCCTCATGTTTGACCGTATACGCCGACTTCTAGGTGTGCACCTATTAAGGTGCTTGTGCGATATATATAAGGGGGAAGGATTAGCCATATAGTTCGAGGACATCACCCCGTCGCCTTCGCCCACCCGCTAAGTAGTACGTCGGAGGACGCCGAATGTACTGGAAGATGTTTTAGCAACCGCCTAAGCCTGACCATTGTCGAGTCGATGTGCATTGTCTAGATCATTGGGGTATGCCACGCCGCCGCGGGGGGGTGTGAGCCGGACAATTGCGTGAGTCTCCTGGTGCCCGAGATTGGGTGCCCTGGCTGTGAGCATCTAAGCGTGGCCGCCGACGTCAGGAGGCGGACCTAGAGATCCCCATCTATCGTGATCACTAGTAGCGTGGAGGGCGCGAGAGACGTGCAGCGGGAGTTTGACCGGATGTTCCAGGCAACCATGTGCGGTATGAACCCGGTGCAGGTGAGCGGTAGCGATACGGACGCCAGTATACCAGCCATGGCTTCTCCGATGGTAGGCGTACACGGGGCTCTGCCATACGACCCGCGAGGGCCCGATCAGCAAGGGCAGCCCGTCCATATTATGGCTGCCCATATAGGCGCACAGCACACGCTCCGGCTAACCACTAATACGGCACGCCCGCTGCAGATGATTGGCATCTTCGCCAGTTGCGTACTGGCGGAATGCAAAGGGTATTCTTCGCCATGCTCAAATCGGGAAGGCGACGTAACCTCTTTCGTCGCTAGAGGATTGGCGTCCTTTTTCAGTAGTGTACTGGCAAAAAGCGATGTCATGTCCCTCCTTCCTCGAGGGACATTTTAGGAGAGTGGAAAGAGGAGGGGAGCCTTCCTCGAGGGAGGGACTGGTAGAAGAAAGAATGAGAAAGATAATGAGGAAGAGGAAGGGAAGAAGCCAAGATTAATACATCCGCATCTGCTGCACTACGTTGTGCTCCGTGCCTTTAATCCAATTATCGTGAACCCTGTCGCGGAGAGACGCTAGAAGGCATGTGCCGATGACCACTGTCCCACGCACTATCGGGGAACAGGGTCAGCTGGGGAAACCAGAGGAGGGTACAGGAAGATGAAGGAAGAGTAAGAAAACATACCTGGATTTGGTAGTACCGCGTGTTGGGCTACCCTTCCTAGATAAGTCACTTGGTAACATACACCTGACGATGTGATGTTACGGCATGGCCTGAAGCGGAAGGATGTGATTGTCAAGGTTTTTCTCGCAGGAAGTCTCATCTTTCTGATCTTCAAGAAGTCGACTTATCATTCCGCCTTCGGGTTATTTGCAGCCTCACACTGACAGGTGTGATCTGCGTAGTGACCCCATTAGGAAGGTAATGCCAACGCACTGCGGTCTTGGAGACTGAACGCAAGGAGCTCGCAGCAACAGAAAGATGCTGCGGGGTTGCAGGAACATCGGACGAAGTCTCAACAAATGGATCGTCGTCGTACTCGGCCACGTCGGTTTTCTTGGGACGCTTGGGAGCCAGAGTCTCTTTGCCGTTTTCATCCTCGTTGACATCCTCGGACTCGCCGTCGGTAATCTCGACCTCGAAAAGTCGAGTTCGCTAGTCCGTCGAGGAGATGACCAGGAGATGACAGAGGCAACATGATCAATGAGGATGTTGAAGATTATCGTATGGCTGTTGTCATAATGATGATCTTGATTTGTGACATAGTAAAATTCGATGAAGACTCGGGAAAGGGAGAAGGGGGGAGGGTATCAAGAGAAGCTGTTGAAGAGCAATAATTGTAATTCTATATGGGAGTGAAGGTTTTCATAATGTAATATGAAGAAGGAAGAGGGGGGGGGGAGGCCTGGTATTTATAGTTTGGTTAGGGGCCCTAGATCAATCAAGATCAGCCCTCAACGCCGCACACCAAGTTACTAGTTTGGGGGTTTCCCGCACGAAAACAAACAAAACGAGGACCAGTTTAGAGCCTTCCTGATTATTGAGCAAAGGTGACACGAGTTTGCAGAAAAAGAAAAAGAATCCTCAGCCTGGAGGCTGTCATCGTATGTTAATGACTCCCCATCCCCTTTGAGATCAGGAGGTTGGCAGTTGTTGGGGCTGCGGCAAACACTTCCAGTAGGCCGGCCACCACTGCCCAACATCTGGTCTTAGGACTCACATTCAACTCACCTCGGGCCGCTGATTCACTGACGATGCCTGCAGTCACTCTCGTGATGCCTTCTTCCCGATGTTGTTGATACGTAATACGCGATCATGAGCCATGGAGGTCCCCTCCCGTCCCTCAAGGTTGCTACACACCTCCTTTTCTCGCGATAGCAACTACTGGACATGTGTAGATCACCCTTTTCATCCCAGAGTGAATGTAGATGCAATATCTGCCCCTGGCTGTGTAGTGGTTGTGTGCTGTCTTCCCTCTTCGCATAGACCGCATGTCCAACCATCCAACCCCACCCGCTTTCGAATAATAGTAACGTATCTGCGTGA